CAATTAAATTATATATGTGAATGAATTGTGTGGCAACAGACATAAACATACGATAGCGGGTCTAATCTATTGCCGAATCTACAATTTTACCATGATACCCCCTTGGGGGGGGGGGGGGGTTGAACCTTGAAGGCATATTTAACGACATGGATACAGACTACCTTGTTGCATAAAGAATGAGCAAGATTAGGCAAACAGCTATGACCACGCTCAGGATTATTGCATCTCTACGTTTTCTCAAGTTTATTTTCTGCATTAAATTGTTCAGCGCTGGAAATCGACCTGAGGTATAGGTTAAGGTTGAATCATTATTAGATCAGTGGGTTGAATTGAAGATGACATTACAGGTTGAATAGACCCTTTCAAGGTTAAAGACGCCATAATGAAACACAATAGTGCAAGGAGTGCAAACACAATGAAATTCCCTATAGGTAAATTTGCAAGGGATGCTAACACAATGGTGAAAACAATAGATTCAAGATGGCGGAAAATACCTTGCGCGCCTATTAAACTCCAACTTATATATTTACTGGACACCTTCATCAATTCTAAACTGTTTTCTTCAAGAGGTCCAGTATAAAGGCTATCCCTTACTGACCCAGTTTCACTACAGGTCTGGAGGGAACTAAAGTACCCGGAAGAAACACTGTTGTTCGGTGGCTAAATATGTAGTACTGTTCTGGTACAGTGACGGACACTTCGCGAAATATTCGAGTGGAGGGGTGGAGGGCAGTTGCTCTCCGTTCCTAATGTCTGCCACTGAACTGAAGGCAGTCTTACCACATGCAACTGACGCGAACTTTTATGAACTGGAATAGGAGTCGAACTTCGGGTTACAGAAATAAATCACACATGCATGCACCAACCATTGTGCTTAACTGCTATCAACAACGGAGTTCTACTGGTCAGTGTTACAGTGGATTGAAAACGGCGCAGAAAAGACACAATTAGCCGTCGCGTTCAACGTCGGAGCGAAATTGTTTGAAAACGTCACTTTTGCCGTAACAATTTGAGCACGCTTTCTAAAACGGAGCGAGATGAAATTAACGGAACCCTTAGCAACTTCGTGTGAATACAAACGCAGTTACTTTTTGTATCGCTTGCAAACCAAGCATCTCAAGTCTCGAAAAAGTAAACTCGAATGCACATCATTTAAATTTCTTTGCTCTATTTGAGATGTTTTCGGTTTACATGAGTGCTAATTTGTAAACTAACTGTAAAGGCGAATAGTGTGAACACATGTAAATTCTGCCGGCATTATTTCGCTCTGGTGGTGTAGTGCGAACGTTGCCTTAGTAATCTGTTTATATAGCTGTGTTGAAAAAGGATACTTGTGATTCCTCCCATTCTCGTGGAAATTTGATAAAGTGCTCCTCGTTGTCTCGACATGTTCTCCTTTGTCGCCATCGCAATTCTAACATAACAGAATATTGCATTATGATGATCAGCACAGGAGTATGGTGAAAATCAAAGTTGAAATAAAAAATTATGATGACAACATAACCATCAACTTACCCAATTGCTTCATCAGCAAGACGGTCTGAACTACAGGAGAAAATGGAAAGTCAACATGAAATTTTCGGCAGCATTATAGTTTAAGAGCCTACATTAAACATATAGTTAGACCTTTTTTATTTATTTTTTTTTATTATATTTAAGCAGGGAGCCCATATCTCCAAGGAGTTTTTCAATGGGGCCCCATAGTCTAACTGTGTTTAAATCTTTTTCGTCAACAGTTATTAGAAACTAGTTTTAATGTAGATGTACTTGGTCTTTACATCGTAGTTGTTCGTGTCGTAGGTCTTAATTAATAGTTTCTAAACTAAACATATAGAGACACGAGTATTTCTGTCTTTGTTTTCTGATATTCTATGTAGAATGTAGTACTGGCTATTTTTTGATATAGTAATAATTACTTTAACCAACCACGTAATACGTCTGAGCTTCAAGCATTTGGCATATCTTTATTTTGGTTGGAATATAATAATTTTTTAATTTAGTTAATTTGTAAAAAACGTAGAGCACTACACAAGCAAAAATCTCACATCTTGTAGCAAGTCTGCCAACAAGCCGTCAACAAGTTGTCTTCGCAGCTGCTTGTCCCAAGTTGTCAACAAGTTTGGAACAAGCTGTTAATAGTTGTAACAACCTTGTTGATATTATCAGACTTGTCACAAGGTTGTTCCAACAAGTCCGATACATTCATGATATAGCAGTATTGTTACAACCTTGTGTCGTCAACCTTGTAACATTCGTGATAATGCCATCATGCTTGTTACAAATTGTTAACAGCTTGATCCAAACTCGTTACAACAACTGGTAACAAGCAAGGCGAAGACAGCTTGTTGATAGCTTGCGAGTAGATTTGTAACAACTTGTTTGCAGACCCGTAACAACTTGTGCGCTTTTACGAGTGTAAAGTGCCTCACATGGGACTTCGAGTCCCATGTGAGGCACTCACGCCATTTGGTATGTCTTGTTTCACTGTCCAATAAAGTTTACAACATAAGAGCACGTAATAAATTTACGTGGTGTTTCCACAAACAAAAACAATTATAAGAGCACGTCTATACTATAGCTCTACTGCATGGAAATGAGGCACAGGGTAAAAATGAGTTCCAACAACTTACTTTCGAATGTGATCATTCTCTTTAAGGTAGAGATCAGTCTTGCGATGAACTCCTCCTGACGATTTATAACCACTGCTAAACAAGATGAATGTCTCAATAAAACAAGATACTGTTCCGAAATATCATTTACTCGAACCGTCCTGACCGCGTAGCTCAGTTGGAAGAGCATTGGGCTAGTGTTCCGAGGGTCGTAGGTTCGAATCCCACCGTGGCCGGACATATTTTTCAAGCTCGCCCGGTGTGGATATGCACTCAGAGTAACATCACAAACATATTATTCACCTGAGTACACAACACCAACACAGAAAAAATTCAAAACAAGATTTTGTTGGCATCTCGCTTGATTGATTAATAGAAGGCTCTTGTAGGTGGAAATTATCGAGTGGAAATTTATATACATTTATTAGACCTGACCGGGAACAACTGCGAAAAATACAACTATAGGTCCCTGACAGGAATCGAACCTTCGGCCCTGGTGCAACGCTCTAATCAATTGAGCTACAGAGGCCAATTGTTGAACTCTAACCACAAGTTCATGTATATACTAGGGTATACTGCCATGTATAGGCTATGAGTAAATATCAAGATGTTGATTTTTTCTGTGTTGGTGTAATGTACTCAGCTGAATATGATGCTTGTGATGTTACTCTGAGTGTATATCCACACCGGGCAAGCTTGAAAAATATGCCCGACCACGGTGGGAATCGAACCTACGACCTTTGGACATTAGCCCAATGCTCTGCCAACTGAGCTACGCGGTCTGGTCGGTTCGAGTATGTGATATTTCGAAACAGAATCTAGTTCCTTCGATATCAATGTAATCTAATAATCATGATTTTTTCTGTGTTGGTGTAATGTACTCAGGTGAATACGATGCTTGTGATGTTACTCTGAGTGTATATCCATTTCGATTCTCACCGTGGTCGGGCATATTTTTCAAGCTTGCCCGGTGTGGATACGATTCTAGATCCTGCCACGGACTTAAATTATATAAAACATTAAGCCCTACGCAAACTAGGAAACATTGTTTCCTACTAATGTTTCGCCATGTTTCCCAGAGTGGGCAAACACTAGGAAATATAATTAGCGAGAAACGTAGGGAAACATCAAATGTTTCTGTATACGCTAGGAAACGTTGCTTCTCGGGAAGCAAATTTTGTTTCCGCAACAATGTTTCCACGGGTGGGCAAACAGGGAAACATTTGAAGAAACATCGAGAATCACCAATGTTTCCACAACAATGTTTCCTAGTTTTCCCAGGGCTTTAGTTAAAACGTGTCAATCACAAAAGCGAGGCTCCATGACCAAAATGACGTACTTTCCGAAAGCGTGTATTCTCTTATTTATCTACAATGGACGACTTGCGCTTTAGAAAAAAATTTAATCTGGGAGTAACAAAGGAAATTTTCGGAAAGAAGTTATCAAAATTAGAAAAACTGCAAAGTTTGGTTGCGAAATGTTGTAAAATACGGAAAATATAAGCCCTGCGAAGTTGGCAAATTTGTATACATTTCTATTACGTGCGGAAATTGGTAACTAATTTAGTTACCAATTCACGCATGTAATACAAAAGTATACAAATTTGCCAACTTTGAAGGGCTATATTGTCCGTATTTTACAACATTTCGCAACCAAACTTTGTAATATTACTAATTCCAAACCGCTCTTTCTGGCTGTGGTGATAGATTTCGTTGTTCTTACATAGATTAAAATTTAGTCTAAAGCGCAAGTCGTCCATTGAATGTTATAAAAATAAGATAATTATTAGTATTTGGGAATAAACATCCTGCAGACATACCCAAGTAATTCTTCTCTTTCTATATAGGCTTCGATATTTGCCTACAAGTGAAAAAATCGATTGATAATTTGTATCTAGGCTACAGGTAAATTTTCACGAATTACAGTAATGGTCTGATGGGTAAATCTTGATGGTATTTCCCCGTTCATACCTTTGTCTTGGTAAATTCTTGAGAGTAATCTTTCAAAATATCACGATGTCTTTGAAGCGTGTGCATTTGAGATGCACTTGGCTGTGAAAAACTAAGATTGGATGTCACCTCGGCCATCTTGTCATTCACTTCAGTTAACTGAAAATCAAACAACAACTTATGTATTTATTTAATTCTCGCAAGTTGTGACAACCTTGTAGCAACTTGATAAAATAACAGCATTGTTACAACTTATTGACAAGCTTGCTACAAGGAGTTGTTGCGAACACATCTTGTCAGGGAAAAGAAATATTAATTGGCGGCTGAAACGTTGTCGGCAAATGTGATAGTAGTAGTATCCCTCCCTTCCCCCACCCCCTCCCCTCCCGCCTCTTCGCGACGGCCCTGCGTCTTGTTGACAAGTTGTGAGATTTTTACGTGTGTAGTTGGCGCAAGCGTGGAAATAGCCTGAGTTTTCGTGTGACATGGCTTAACTTATTCACAAAACAAAAATTGAATTAAAACTGCCTGTTGCTTTTTTTCTCGTCTCTGCATTTGGACTATAGAATTTCGAAGCTATATATCTCTAAAGATTTCTCGAATGCTCAGCAATCTCATCCCTGAGTTAAAAATTCTATAGAAGAACAACGCAATTAGGACAACGATATGAGGACAGAATATAAGAATGAATTATGATATTTAAATAAAAATATGTAACAAAACGAAACTAGATATACACGTAACTATTGCGTAACAAAATTGTCTCCTGTGGTTAAGTTACCAAAAAAGGCAAAGAAGTTCAAAAGAGTATATTGTTAAAATTCCTCAAAGGCGGAATAAAGAGAAACGTCACAGATTGAATCTCCAAACGTCTACATGTCCTTGACCTTGTGTGTGTTACTTTGCTGCGAAAGTTTACAAAACAAAATGTAGATATTTAGTGATGTAGACAAGCGATGGCAACAGGTTATGAAGCTAGCAGATTTGAAACGCAGGTTGACGAAAGCCTTCACTGCGTAATATGCACAGAAGTATTAAAAGATCCAGTACAATGTCGCAGGAATGAACATCATTTCTGTAGGAATTGTATCACTGAACATCTACGACATTCACGGAACTGTCCGACATGTAAAGACCCCTTAACCGTTGAGACCCTGGCCAGACCTCAACGATTCCTGGCGAACACCCTGTCAAGTTTGAAGATTTCGTGCGAGAATTCCGAGCATGGTTGTCGCAAGGTCGTCGAACTTGGCTCACTCGACACACACGTAGCAACTTGTGGTTTCAGTCCAATGCCATGTTCCAACGATCAATGTGAGGAAATAATAAGTCGACGTGATAAAGAAATCCATGAAAATAAAGTTTGTGGTTTTCGACGAGTCAAGTGTGATTACTGCGCCCAAACGGTGCTGCATAAGAACTTTACGCAGCATATATGTACGCATACGTGTGAAATGAAAGCCGAGTTGAGAGAAGTTCGCTCTACGCAAGATGAAATGTTTAAAATGATGCAAAATATGATGTCGAGTCTTAAGAGGTTTGAAAGAAATACGGCACAACATTCAGAAGGCAGTCATGCAAGCAGTGGTCAGGAATTGCAAGCCGAGATTGTCGTCGCAGGAGGGTGGCGTTGTAAATCTGTCGAAGTGTTCAACATGGCAACCAAAACATGGCGGCCACTGTCAGAGATGAATGAATGTAGACAGGGAGCAAGTTCAGTTTTATACCAAGGTCACATGATTGTGACAGGTGGGATGCTTGGATTCCAAGCCCTGGACAGTGTTGAAGAACTAAATCTTGCTGAGCAAGATGGACATTGGGTTCAATCTCAATTTAAATTACCAATACCGTCCTGTGGTCACGCATGCGTGGTATATCAGAATCGTTTTTTTGTTATTGGGGGACGTGATTTTACTGAAACCTATGATACAATACATGAAATTCAGCTGACCCCTCCCTATACATCAAGGTTTCTTACCAAGATGCCCAGGCCAATACGTTACCATGGTGCTGAGATAGTGAATGGCAAGATATACATCATTGGTGGCAGTACGACAAGAATACTTTTTAACTACCCAACCAACACTGTTCTCATGTTTGACCCAGCAACCAATACTTGTACAGAGCTCAAACCACTTCCACATCAGGTATCAAGGATGGCAACTGTAACTTGGAAAGACAATGTGGTCGTCCTTGGCGGGGAGGACAATCAAGGCAACATTCTCAATACAGTGGTACTGTATAATGTTACCACAGGAAGTCATCGTATGCTTCCTGAGATGACAAAGAAGCGATGTGGTTGCACAGCAGTGATCATTGGTGATAATATTATCGCAATGGGCGGATATGATGAAAATTACACTGGTCTTAACTCTGTTGAATGCTATAATTTCCACACCAACACATGGACAGAGTTCCCAGCCATGACTGAAGCAAGAGTTGGTGCTACTGCTGTTGTATTTAAAATATAAAAAATGCACTATTGTGGTCTTATTGTAATTAATGTTGATATAAATTTTTAAATAAATTCTTGACTTTCTTGAGCTGACTAAATGGTGAGCTAGGATATAGACAATATTTACATGGCACCATACAAATACAGAACTCTACCAAAACTCATCCAGGTGCGAAAAAATAATTATGTTCATGTGTGTGCAGCCTGAAAAATTCTAGATAAAAATTTCCAGCACACCATGGCACATTCTGTTCTGTTTTTCTGTTATAGAACTCGACCAAAACTCATACAGTTCCATCAGAAGGAGTGGAAAAAATCATTGTTTTCCTGAAAGCACAACCTGAAGATCAGGCGTGGTAAAAACAGTCAAGCACGGCAGGAAGATTTTCAGCGAGACCATGTTCCCGACAGGCCGGACGCTTAAGAACCCCCCTCACCTCAAGTATTTCTGCTCATAACTCAGAAAAACTATTTTGGCTTCATCAAATCATAGGCCTTCATCATAGCAGTTAGCCTTCCAGTTTATTTATAGTTCAATGGGTGAACCTAGTAAACCGGTCATCAAAAACCCTGGATCCATCCCTGCACATTATCACCACCCCCCCTGAAATTTTTGCACCCCCCAGAGAAAAATATGAAAATCCGCCCTTGCCTTACATTTAGAAATAAAAAGCAACCCTAAACTTTTTTCTCTAAAATCCAAGTTTATATGATCCTGGGAGTCAATATAAAAGTCAATTTGTTAACAAAATATTTTGGAAGAAACACCAGATAATGTTATTTAGTAGAGAAAGAAGCTCGCGAATTAAACATGTATTGTGTTTGCATAAATTATATGACCTCCCCCTGAAACTTTTGACTTTCTTGAACCCCCCCCCCCTTATCTGTGCTGGAAACCTTAAAGACCCACTCCCAATAGTTTTACCAGCCCCCCCCCCTATACCCACGTAATCAACGAACGCTTCTTAACGGACATCGCCCAAGGACAACTTGATTAAATGTTGGTTCAATTTGGGTAAAAATTGGATGAGAAATTAGCATGTATAGTTTATGCATGATCATCAGTCTCTGAGTAGCCCATATATATAGTTCGTGTTGTATCTTATAACCACACAAACTACAAAT